GTTGCAGTAAATGTAGAACTCTATTTTCCATCTTTATAATATTTTGTTTCTCCTTCAACATTTCAAATGAGCTGAATGCCTTTTTTTGTGTGGGCGAGGGGTGCCTTCATATCAGTCTTGTCTCCTTGGAGACTATCTGGATTACACCCTGCAGTTTTCTTGGCAAGATTTTAGAAGTAGTTTGCCCTTGCCTGCTTCCTGGGATCGAGAGAGACTGGTCCAGGGGTCACCCTGCTGGCTTTGTGCCTAAAGTGGGATTAGAACTCATGTTCTCCCGATTTCTAGCTTGATGCCTTAGCCCTGAGATGGTGAACCTATGGCACGCATGCCATCGGTGGCAAGCAGAGCCATCTCTGTGGGCACGCCAGCCGTTGCCCCAGCCCAGTTTCATCGTGCATGTGTGCGCGCCTCCCGCCAGCCAGCTGGTCTTCAGGTCTCTGCCGTGCATGTGCAGTGGGGGATGGGGGCATGAGGAGGACACGCACGTGCATGCACGGGGGGCAGGATGCATGCATGGGGGGGGTTAGGAGGCTTTCCAGGCCCAGAATGGGGCGCAGGGGGGCACGTGAGACCCCCCATGTCCTGTTTTGGGCCTGGAAAGGCTGCACCAACCTGGAAGCCAAAATGAGGTGTGGGGGGCGCATACGTGGGGGGCAGGGCGCATGTACGGGGATGCACGTGCATGCATGAGGGTGGTGCACGTGCCCCAGGGGGGCACTCACATTGCATTTTGGAGGTTCGTGCACGCACATGTGCAATTGTGCCTGCATTTGCACGCTTATGTGTACTCGGCACCAAAAAGGTTAACCATCACTGCCTTAACCAGTACACCAATGTGTTGATTTCATGTAAATCATTGATATTTTGAACTCATTGCTTTGAATTCTATATATCCAAATTTTGACATCTAGAGTGGCTGAAGAGAGAAAACATTGGAGATTTGCTTGCCTTCTGCAGCAAACCAGCTTTTCAGCACTGAAATTATTCAGTTCAAGTATAGTACAAAGACTAATTAATCAAAGCATTCTTCCACAGTTGATCCATCAGAATTTGGGACACATATTTGCCAGCCATTATCTAGAAATAATTAGTTAGCAACCAACTTGTCTACTAATTCTTGAGTAGTTGAAAGTATTTTCTTGAAATGCCTGGTCTTTTTCTCTGTAATTGTGAAAGACACTTAGGAAACCCAGACATGATTGAATGTTTTCATACTAATGAGCTGAATAGTCTGCAGAGGTTGCATCTCAATCCCAACATTTCAAATAGGCTGAAGTTATAATAAGACAGAAAAAGAATGCCTGTGTGCTCAACACAGATTGTAGCTGATATGCAAACAGTAATGGCCAATTTCTGTTTATGGAGATTCTCAGTCATCCAGGTCATGGTTGTCCCAAAGGTGCTTTTTTCAAGAGGCAACTAGACTTTTTGGTTTTTTCTTTGAAGGCCACTTTGGAGGTTTATCTGTGTCTTTTTTTTTTTTTTAATTTGATTTATATGCCGCCCTTCTCCGGAGACTCAGGGCGGCTTACAATGTGCTCAGCAATAGCCTTCATCCTTTTGTATATTTATACAAAGTCAGCTTATTGCCCCCACAAACTGGGTCCTCAATTTACCTACCTTAGAAAGGATGGAAGGCTGAGTCAACCTTGAGCCTTGGCGAGATTCCAACCTGCAGTAATTGCAGGCAGCTGGTCTTAATAACCAGCTTAATAACAGGGTGCCTTAGACCACTGTACTACCAAGGCTCTTAGGGTCACCTGAGTAGTACAAATGTGTGTGGACCCTTTTTGGAACTGCTGAAAGCACTGTGTTGCAGACTGGAGATAGATGATGTTGTATCCCTCCCCCTCTGTTGAGGGCTGTTCAACATAGGAGAACAAACCCATCAAGACAAGATTCAGCAATCCATCTACATTTAAAAGACAACAGCCACTCTTTTGAAGACAGCAAAGTCCACATTTTGGACCACTGGTTTGAAAGAGGGGTCATCTATGTCAAAATTGAACAGCCCTCTCTCATGAGAGAGTCTACAACACAGACCTCCAAATCTCCAAGTGGCCTCAATGACTCCCTAAAAGAATGCAAATGACCAGCTGTCTGCAAGGAGTATAAATCCTTCCATTCCTCACCATCCAGTCAGAGCTGAAGAAACTTCCTGAGCAGTTTCTGCTTTCTTCCTCATTTCTTATTCTCTTCTCTTGATCTTTCCTCCATTTATTTTATTTAATCTGCATTTTGTTAAAAGCTCCCAGCTATCCATTCCTGGGAATCTGTGTAATGGGTTTTGTAGTGCCAAGCACTTAGTTCATTTTCCAAACAAACCATCCCTAGCCTGGGCTGATAGAGCAGAGGAACAGATATATAGAAGGTGACTGGATGAGATATTTTCATTTCCTAACAAATTTATGTTGCTTTCATTACTACTTCACATTACTTGTATTTTTATTCATAGACAGCATGACTACAGATTGAAACCACTAAAAATCTTCACATAAGGGGGTTTCAGGCCTGGGAAGAAAAACTTTATTTCAGTTTTAGATAAACTGGACTGAGTAAGGCAGTACAGTATTGTCTACTGTGTATACCATGATTAGCTAATGTTAATGACACTAGATGTATGTGTTGAACAAATACACCTTCCCGCGTTTCACACTTTTCCAACACTGGATCACTTAAGGATCTTTAGCGTACCATGCGCCTGACTGAAATTAACAGGAAAGAGAGGCGTTTTTTGCACCTTTCCCACCGCTATGCATTTACAGCATTTTAATACCGACTCCTAGGACTCTGGACAGGACATAATAAACCAACATAAAAGCCATTAAAGTCCAATTCATATTAAACTTTTTTTTTTTAAGGCGAGCATTTTGTTGGCGGTGACAAGAAGTGGCAGTTTAATAAAGAGGGTTGCTTCGCAATCACCCCTCCCGCATCCAGAGAACAAGAATTCGTTAAAAGGAAAAAAAAAAGTGCAGCGGAGGGGACGAGAATCGAACAGGGAGACGCCCACTTTTTTTTGTTTTGCCTGAAAAGAGACGAAGGCACTGAACGCCCTTCCCAACTAAACTCCCCCCCCCGCCTTAACGCACGGCGGCTATTCCTTCAGGCGCGCCACCTCCCACCGGCGCAGCGAGCGGGGCTTCTGCCTCCGGCGCGCGCCTGATCCGACCTCTCCGGCGGAGGCGGGGAAGTTCCGCTCCTCCTCCTTCTCCAGACTCAACTAGCCAATCCCGTTTGCCCTGTTTGGCCGCCCAGGCTTCATCCTAAACAACGTATCGAAGCTCGATTCCCTCGCCTTCCCGCCTGCTTTGTTTAAACAGTTGCAGGCGGCGCGCTGGGAGAATGGCTGGGTGCGGCGATCGGCTGTTTTTGCAACGCCGCGGACAGTCTCTGGCATTGCTCCTGGGGCAAGTGCTCGCCACGGGGCTCATCCAGGCCGTGAGCCTTGAGGAAGCCCTGCCTTTATTAGCAGGTAACTGGCTGGATGCTGCCGTCTGAAATCGGTTCACCAGCCAGCAGTTGGCATTAGATAGAAACCGCGAGTTCTGAGTCCTGCAAAGGCAAGGACTGCCCTTTCGGATTTCTGCCCCTAATACAGGTAGTCCTCGATTTACAATAGTTCGTTTGGTGACCGTTGGAAGTTACATCGGCACTGGAAGAAAAAAAAAGGGACTTATGACCGTTCTTCACACTTACGACCGTGGCAGCAGCCCCACGGTCACCTGATTTACATTCAGACGCTCGACAGTTGACTCACATTTACGACGGGAGTCATGGGAGTCCCTTTTGATGAGCAAAGTCAATGGGGAGTCCAGATTCACTTAACAACTGTGTTATTAATTGGTGATTCACTTAATCACTTAATGTGGGGAGAAAAGTTGTAAAATGGGGCAAAACTCACTTCACAAATTTCTCACATAACAACATAAATTTTGGGCTCAAGGGTGGTCTTAAATTGAGGACTATCTGTAGTCCATTATCGCTCTTCCCCCAAAATCTTTAGATAGCTTGCCTGACCGCTTGCCTGTTGGTTCTTTAGCGCTTCAGATGGGACTGCCTTGCAGTGTAGACAGTGCTCCTGCACCCGCATCCCTCTTGACTGTTTGGAAGGCAAAAGATGCACTAGGACTGTACATACAACAGGTCATTTAGCAACTGTTCGAAGTTATGATGACACTGAAAAAAGTGACTTATGACTGTTTTCCACACAACCATTGCAGCATCCCCATGGTAATAGGATCAAAATTCAGATGCTTGGCGACTGGTTCATATTTATGATGGTTGCCGTGGATCATGTGATCATTTTTTGCAATCTTCTGTCAAGCGAAATCAATGGGGAAGCCAGATTCACTTAACCGTGTTACTAACTTAACAACTGCAGAGTTTCATTTAAGAACTGTGGCACGAAAGGTTGTAAAATGGGGCAAAATTCACTTAATAACTGTCTCATTTAGCAACAGAAATTTTGGGCTCGGTTGTGGTCATAAGTCAAGGACTACCTGTTCTTGTTCACAGGTTTGCAAATTAATGTATGAAGTCTCTGATTTGGATTTCTTAGAGCAGTGTTTCTCAGCCCTGGGAACTTTAATATATGTGGACTTCAACTCTCGGACTTAAGCCAATTTAAGGCTACACATATCATGTTGGCTGGGGAATTTGGGAAGTTGAAATCCAGACTTCTAATGTTGCCAAAATTGAGAAACACTAACTTAGAGTAAAGAGGGAATGAACAAGAAAGTTATGCTGTCAAATGGTTGCAGATGGGACAACAGTAGCCCCAAATATATGTGGGTGTGTTTTTCATAGGAAGAATTTAGGACCCCAGTAATGGATTGCAGGGCTGATAAACCAAATCCATCAAATCATAGAAGTCAGGCATATTTCAATATGGCAGCTTGATTTGGTTTGTGACAATTATAATTCTTGGAAAAATGTCTAAACAACTTGCATATACAGTATTTCATGATGCAGTGATTAACCCTTTTCCTTTTGTATAGATAGTAGCTGTAAACAGTTGAAGATAATGAAGATAATGCAGAGTACAGAATCAACCTGTTTCTGCTACATTCCCAATGGAGCAGTGTACTTACAAAATACTTGGTCAACTATTCAGGTAAAGTCATGCTGTTGATACACTCATAAATTAAGCGGCTAGGGTTTTTCTCAGCAGCTCTTGGTAATATTGATGCTACTTAGAATTTTACATGTTCCATTTCATCAGCATCTAGAGAGCTACATTCACCCTTATTCTAAATAAATCATGTGGTCTTATATAAAGTAGCATCTACATGTAGAAGCCCCAGTACTATGTGTAGATTTATTTTTGGGAGAGCAATCTTGTAATTTTTCAGACAAACATCAGTATTTGCCTCCTGCTTTTTCTTCCACTTGTATGATTGAATATAGAATAAATCCTTTGTGTTAACTGGAACTTGAGTTTTTAGTTTGTAGCTTACAATCAAGGCAAGATATCAAGCCAGGAATTACAGGCTTACAAGCACTGCTTGGATTTGGAGCAACAGATTGTTCCACGTTCAAGAGCAAGTTCCAAGTTCAAATACAATTCATTATTTACAGGTAGCACTCATCTCACAACCATTTGTTTAGTGACCGTTTGGCTGTCACTGAAAAAAGTGACTTATGACAGGTTTTCACATGACTTGCAGTATCTCCATGGTCATGTGATCAGAATTCGAATGCTTGGCACCTGGTGTTTATGAAGGTTGCAGTGTCCTGAGGTTATGTAATCACCATTTGTAATCTTCCCAGCTGGCTTCCAGCAAGCAAAATCAAAACCAGATTCGCTTAATGACCGCATTATTCACTTAACAACTGCAGTGATTTGTCTAACAACTGTGGAATAAAGGTCATAAAATGAGGTGCAACTCACTTAACAACTGCTTTGCTTAGCAGTGGAAATTATGGATTCAGTTGTGGTCATGTTGAGAACTACCCATGTTTGTACTAGTTCACTTACTTGTGCAAATGGCTGTGATAGCCTCAGGATTTCTGATTGAAAGTGTATATAAGTATAGGCAAACTTCAATGGTGTAAGAAATCCTATTGTTCCGTATTTCACAATTCCTTTTAGCTTTTGAATATATAATTAAGAATTATTATATTTTTTTAGGTGTCCATAAACAGCACTGAATTATTTCAAGTGGTGTATATCCCAGATGAACGTGAATGCCAAAATTCCGAACATTTCCTAGATTTTTTGAAGTGCCTGATTAGCAATATTTGGCACCCTAGTGTGTCTAATCAAACAATCATAACAGTGGACCAGTTTGTTGGCAAAACATGTTTCAGGATCGAACCGACAAATAAAGTACTCTTCACTGTGAGCGTACAACAAAAGAGTGAGTAATATTAAGAGAAATCCATTTATAAAATACTTTTGTATTATTAGAAGTATGCATTTTCAGTACATAAGTGAAACAGGTTTCGATTTCCCATCTTTTTGTTTTGTTCCAGTGTTGGAGAGCAAACTCTTTCTGTTATTTGTTGCTGGTGGACTTCTTTTTCATTTTGCCTATAACTTGAGTAGGTACGTGCTAGCTTTACTGGAGTCTGTCAATTACATGAACTTGATAATTTTGAAAATAATAATGAGCTGCAAATCTGCAAACCTAAGAAATTGCATTGATTTCAGAAAGACTTGAGACAAGCTATACCATGGGTAGGGCTGTTGTTCTGTCCTTTCAATTTTTAAAGAGTGTATTTATTTAGACATGCAATATTGTCTAAATCAGTGATCAGTAAGTGGGTGGAATGAATAAAGGCACATAATGAGAAATAAATTGAATGACTATACCAGGGCTGAGTAGTTGGCTTAGCCATGATGTATTTAGCAAACCATGACTGAATTCACCTATCACATTCAGCTATGAATCATGATATACAAACCAAAAAGACTGAATTTACACATTAAGATAATCTGAAACTGAACCAATCACATTATAGCTTAACACAAACTCTAGAAAGAGTGCAGAGAAGAGCAACAACGATGATTAGGGGACTGGAGGCTAAAACATATGAAGAACGGTTGCAGGAACTGGGTATGTCTAGTTTAATGAAAAGAAGGACTAGGGGAGACATGATAGCAGTGTTCCAATATCTCATGGGTTGCCACAAAGAAGAGGGAGTCAAATTATTCTTCAAAGCACCTGAGGGTAGGACAAGAAGCAATGGGTGGAAACTAATCAAGGAGAGAAGCAACTTAGAACTAAGGAGAAATTTCCTGACAGAACAATTAATCAGTGGAACAACTTGCCTGCAGAAGTTTTGAATGTTCCAACACTGGAAATTTTTAAGAAGATGTTGGATAACCATTTGTCTGAAGTGGTGTAGGGTTTCCTGCTTGGGCAGGGAGTTGGACTAGAAGACCTCCAAGATCCCTTCCAACTCTGTTATTCTACAGCGTGTGAATCCAGGCAGTATGCAACAAGGCATTCTTATGGGATGTTAATTGCAAGATTGGGGGGCTGTATAAATAAGTGAAGTGATCTGTAGAATTTAAATAAAGCTGTATCTTTGCTTTTCTATTTCTTGAACTTGTTTTCCGTGCGCAAAAGATTTACTAGCATTTATGTGTTTTTTCCAAACAGAAGTAATATCTTCTACTATTGTGCTGGGATAGCATTTGGCATTTTCATACCTCTAGTCTTTCTCGTTTTCATGCTTAAAAGGTTTATTCCCAAGGTAAGTTTATGACGTGGGTGGAAGATTCAAAATCAAGATAGGTAACAGGGTGGGCAAAGCATTTTGGTATTCGTTGTCTCTATAAGCAAAGCACATTCAAGAAAACAGTTGAATCCAGATTCTTTTTCTCCACCCGAAGTATTCCTGGAGCGGAATTCAATTTAAAATGTTGTACTGGTAGAAGAAGATAATTTGTCTTTGTGTGTGCCTCTTTCCTCAGGAGATCCCTGATGCTACTTCTTCCCATTATTTTAGAGGTCCCTCAACCCTTCAAAGCAGGTTTTTTGAAGACAGGGAGCTGCAGTAGAAAGAAAGAATCACTGAAATATAACCTGGCAGTTCTTGATATATCTAATCCAATCATTCCTTCATCTTTGACCATAAAACGGAAGACTTGACTTTACTTTCCATGTCAGCGAAACACAAAGTTTAGTTTTCTAGCAATATACCAAGAAATACCAGTCCTTAAAGTGCTGTATTAAAAATACCATGTTTGTTCAGTGTTCTGCTTGGTTTTGGTCCTTGTGAATTTAGACCGTGGGTTATACTTTAATTGCTTTTTGTGGCTCTAATAAGTTTTTATCAAGTAGAAATGTAAGGGCTTCCCATCCATAGGCTGCACTTGTATTTGTAAAAAATCCTTCCCAGTGGCCATTAGATGTTCATCACAGGAAAGGCATGAGCTGATCCTGTACTGGTGTAGCCTTTGTAACCTTACATTCAATGTTTGTGCTAATTGTGGTGAAAATGTTATGTACCTGTGAGACAAGAGGTATATTTGGCTTTTGCGAGAAGAACCTTTTGATTTTTAAGTTCCAAAATGACATTCTCATTACCGTATTTTTCGGACTATAAGATGCACCTAAATCTAGAAGAGGAAATCAACAAAAAAAAATGTTTGACCTCCGCGCTCCCCATTTTTGGTCCTTTTTTCGGCCCGTTTTCTAGGCTTTTTTTGGCCTGTTTTTTAGGCTTTTTTCAGCCCATTTTTGAGGCTTTTTAGGCCTGTTTTTGAAGCTTTTTTAGGCCATTTTTTACTGAAAAAACTTGACCAAAAAAGCCTCAAAAATGGGCCAAAAAGCCTTGAAAATGGCCCAGAAAAAAGCCTCGAAAACGGGCTGGAAAAAGCCTCAAAAATGGGCCAAAAAAGGCCCAAAAATGGGGTGTGTGGAGGCAAAAAAAGTGGCCAGTGGGTGGGCGTGGCTTCGGCAATATTCGGTCTATAAGACGCAAAGACATTTTCACCCCCTTTTGGGAGACAAAAAAGTGTGTCTTATAGTCTGAAAAATATGGTAGTTTTGTTTAATTGTGAGCTCTTCTCTTCAGTCTAGATTTGCTTCAGCTTGATTTGGGTGGTTTCACTAATTCCACTTTTGTATATCTGTCTGGACAAACACGCACCCTAATCAAACGTCATTCTTCTTTTCTCTTCCCTTCTTTTAGCTAAGTACCTTCTGGATTTTAATGAGTGGGGGCTGGTTCTCTTCTCTGTATATGTTCTATATTTCAAGAGAAAAACTGAAATGGATGTGGAACAATTCTACATATTATATACTGGGTATGAGAATTAATAACAATATAAGAGACTTTGAAAAGGAGCTTCTTTTGCAGTTACAATTCTCTTCAGTCCTAAAATGGAAAGCTTGTCAAATGAAGTACATTATCTCCCAAAGGTTGCGGATTCAGAGTAACTATATCCTCATTAGGCATGCCTATTGAAGGTAGCCCTCAACTTACAACCATTACTTTAATGACCGTTCGAAGTTACAATGTCACTGAAAAAAGTAACTTACGACTGTTTTTCACACTTATGACCATTGCAGCATCCCCATGAATACATGATCAAAATTTGGATGTTTGGCAACTGGCATCTATTTATGATGGTTGCACTATCCTGGGCTGTGTGATCACCATTTGTAACCTACCTAGCCAGCTTCCAGCAAGCAAAGTCAATGGGGGAAGCCTGATTGCATGATTCACTTAATAATTGCAATTGTTCACTTAACAATTGCAACAAAAAGATCATAAAAATGGGGCAAAATTCACTTAGCAATTGCCTTGCTTAACAATGGAAATTTTAAGCGGTGGTTGTAAGTCTTAGTTGCATTCCTAGTGAATCTTACAGAGTTATATTTGAATCATAGACGAAAACCTTCAAAAACTGAGATTTTATTGTTCTCTTTCCCCTTGCTCTGGGGGAAACAGCAGCCTTACATTATTTTGGATGTAAAAAAGCTGTCTCTTCCCTGATGGGAAAGATGACACTTCATATCTGCAAAATATGCTGTCCAGAGACTTCAAGAGCATCTGGAATTATGTGAAGTGATAGAAACATTATGTAGTGTCCTTTAATATATATGATAAATAATCACTTAGTGTTTAGTTATCGCTGGTTGTGTTTGTTCATAGCACTAAACCAGGATTCAAATATCCATATGCTAGATTGACTATGTGTGAACTAAATAACTGAGCAAGAGATGTGCTTGTTCAACCTCTGCCACGTAGCTGCAATTATGCAAACTCCTGCTTTAAAGTCATCTTAGCAAATACAGATAGTCCTCACCTTACAACCGTAACTGAGCCCCAAACTATGGTTATAAGTTGTTGCAGTCATAAGTTGAGCCATAAACGTGACCGAATCTGATTTTTTTGATATTTACTGCCAGAAACCAGAAGTTAACACTGGAAACCAGCAAAAAAGTAACTAATCATAGTTACATGACTGAGGGACACTGCAAATGGCGTGAAGGTGAGCCGGTTACTAAGTGTGCAAAATGTGACCAAAGGGAAGGGGTGCAAGTGTTGTAAATTCGAAATGGGTTGTACGTAACTCCGGAGAGGTCCATTGTAACTTTGGTCATTAAGCAATCAGTTGTAACTTGAGGACTACCTGTATTATGACACTTACTTCTCAGTAAATAGCCATACATATTTATGAACGCATATACTATATAGTACACAATGTCACTCTTTTTTTACTGGAATTTTGATCAGAAAGTTCAAAAAACCCTCTTTCCATGAGTATTATTTTAAATGATGCCATTGGAAAATGAGCACATTCTACCATTTATTCGTATTAATCAATATTAATCTGTCCAGAAAATGCTGGGCAGATAGATTTCCAGAGTAAGCAGCCGATCTGTCCTTCAGATGGGCATACGTGGCGTAACTGTAAGCTGCTGTTATGCCATGAAAAGTATCCCACTAACATAGAAAAAAAATCAGGAGCGGAAAGAAATGATTTCCAGTTTACTTAAATATCCCTCCCTGAAACAAAAAGTTACTTAACACGATTTAGCTCTGAGTGAATGGTTAGTTGCAAGCCTAAAATGAAGTAAATGTATCACTTTTTTTATCTACCGATATTTCACGGCTAAGTGTTTTGTTTTTCAGGGTATATTTTATCAGTTGGATTGATCTCTTTTGCTATTTGCAAGAAGCATGGGCCATTCAGCAGTGAGCAAAGTATGAATCTCTTGATGTGGATGTTACAACTGAAAGGCCTGATCTTAATTTATTTTGGCATTGCAATCCCCCAGGTTGCCTATGCAGTCACAACTGCTATGCTCTGTACAAAATTCCTGCATTATCCCCTTCGAGCATCCTGCTACGTTGGCAAGTTAGTAACCTTTCACTTATTGAATCAAAACAATATTCTAACCAAAATTAGCTGAAGCAACTGTTCTTGTATAATGTAGTCTGACATTTCAGGCAATTGTGTACTGTCAATTAAAACTGTATAGTTATTTATTTATTAAATTTGTTTGCCTCCTATATTCTGTTTTCTCTTTGTCTAATATGTAGTGGAGCTTGCACAGTCCCAGAATGTCCCAGAAGTAGTTTGTTTCTGTCCTCACCTGTAAGTCATTCAGCGCAAGGCTATGGGGGCCTTCCAGCTCAAACTGAGTAGCATCACAATGTATAGAGAACAACTTGTCCTTGAGGATGTAATTTTTGGCATCGGTGCCCTTTTTCTAAAAGTTATTGTTCTAGTGCAGTGATGGCTAACCTTTTTGCCATTGCATGCCAGGAGGGGGGGCGGGCGAGATTCGCTTACGTGCGTTCCCACACCCATAATTCTATGCGCCCCACCCTGCGCATGCACACACAGCCCCCCGCCCCCCGCTCCTGGCATGTGATGGCCTGGTAGGCCTGTTTTTCTTTCTCACTTGGCTCCAGAGCCTCTCTATGCATCTGGGGAAGGCTGTTTTCGCCCTCCCCAGATGCATAGAGAGGATCTGGAGCCAGGTGAGAAAGAAAAACGGGCCTTCCCCAGGCCCTCCAGAGGCAGGAAACGGCCTGTTTCCCTACTTCTGGTGGGCCCAGAAGGCCTGAAAATTAGTTGGCTGGCATGCGCAAGCGCGCCTGAGCTGAGCTTAGCATGCCCACTGATATGGCTACACGTGCCACCTGTGGCATGCGTGCCATAGGTTTGCCATCACAGTTCTAGTGGATTATGACATTTTTTTGAGAAATGGCTTATATCACTCTATAGATAAATTGGCTATGTTTGTAACCAGTGCAAAGCAGAAATTACGTTAACGATCCTTAGTTAAGGAAGCATGGGTCATTCTTTTGAGGATAAGCAAAACAATTTCCTGGTTTGGTTGCTCCCATACCCTCAAGAAAGCATTGCTTGCTTTGAGAAACAGAGTCTGCTTAGACAATTGCCTTAGGACCTTGGTAAATTGGCAAAGGTTCTAGGGAGCAGCACAAAACTCAAGGAAAAATGTAGGATTCTGGGATCAGCCCTAATAAAGCATGACTAAAACAAATCAGACTGTGTAACCATAGTTTCCCTTTGCTTTATTACCTGTGATGCATTAAGAGATTCAAACAGTCTGTAGTTACATGAAACCCGGGCTTAGCATTATGTGAAATCCAAGTTTCTGTTTTGTTATTTTCTGTACTACCTTAGAATCAATCATTCTAGGAAGCTTAACAATCATCTGAGCCCATATTCAATATAGAGTATTCTTTATATTTTGGGTGTGTCATTTTAGAAGTAGTAGCATTATTAGAGATTGTTCTGACACATGGTTGTGTTCTAGTACTTAAGCTATTAAGTACTTTATTCAGCACGTTTTAGTATTAATGCTATAGTAGACACCGCATGCAAAAAGACTTAATTTTATTACTCTTTTGGATGAAAATATATGCTAGGATTTCTGCTTTATTTTCCAGATAATTCATTGTATGTCTAAATACAAGTGCCTTCAACAGGTAGCTGTTCACCCATTAAATTGTACAATGATAAGATACCTGTATGTAAGGACTTTTAGCCATAAACTCAGGAACCTGGGGGAAATTTTTTTTTAGCATTTTGAATTCTAATCATAATTGTGTTTGGAATCTCATTAAAGGGCTGCAGAACTGTTTAGGTACAAAATTGGCACTTTGTCAAGAACTCGGGCTCGGTTGTGCTTGGAGAAGCTTTAAGAACTTGGACTCTGACTGGGTAGATTCGGGAGGGAGGATGGAGGCAAGTCTTGAGAATATTATCTGGGAAGAGTTTGATTCTGTGACTCCGGAAAACGTGGACAAGATACTGGGCAGACTAAGCGCGGCCACATGTTTATTGGACCCGTGTCCCTCCTGGCTGGTGCTGGCCTCTCGGGAGGTTACACGAGGCTGGCTCCAGGGGATTATAAATGCTTCCTTGAGTGAGGGTGTCTTCCCTGCCGCCTTGAAGGAGGCGGTGATGAGGCCTCTCCTCAAGAAGCCTTCCCTGGACCCAGCAGTGTTGGCTAATTACCGTCCAGTCTCCAACCTTCGCTTCATTGCGAAGGTTGTTGAGAGTGTGGTAGCGCGACAGCTTCCTCAGTACTTGGATGAATCGGCTTATCTAGATCCGTTCCAGTCGGGCTTCAGGCCTGGATACAGCACGGAAACGGCATTGGTCACATTGGTAGATGATATCTGGAGGGCCCGGGACAGGGGTTGCTCCTCTATCCTGGTCCTATTAGACCTCTCAGCAGCTTTTGATACCATTGACCATGGTATCATGCTGCACCGGTTGGAGGAGTTAGGGGTGGGAGGCACCGTGTTGCAGTGGTTCTCCTCCTTTCTATCTGATCGGTCGCAGTCTGTGTTGACAGGGGGGCAGAGGTCGACCCCGAGGCCCCTTGTATGTGGGGTGCCACAGGGGTCGGTTCTCTCATCCCTTCTGTTCAACATTTATGTGAAGCCGCTGGGTGAGATCATCCGTGGTTTTGGGGTGAAGTATCATCAGTATGCTGATGATACTCAGCTATACATCTCCACCCCGGACCACCCCAATGATGCCCTTAAAGTGATGTCCCAGTGCCTGGAGGCTGTACGGATCTGGATGGGGAGGAACAGACTCAGGCTCAACCCATCCAAGACCGAGTGGCTGTGGTTTCCGACGTCCTGATATAGTCAATTGGTGCCATCACTGATTATTGGGGATGAGTCATTGCCCCCCATGGAGAGGGTTCGCAATTTAGGCGTCCTCTTGGACTCACGGCTGTCTTTAGAAGAACACTTGACGGCTGTGGCCGGGAGGTCTTTTTATCAGGTTCGCCTGATTCGCCAGTTGCGTCCCTTTCTGGATCGTGATTCGTTAAAAACGGTCACTCATGCCCTCGTCACTTCACGCCTGGACTACTGTAATGCTCTCTACATGGGGCTCCCATTGAAGAGCACCCGGAGGCTCCAGCTGGTCCAGAATGCGGCCGCGCGGGTACTTATGGGAGCAGCATGGCGCTCCCATGTGGCTCCCCTCCTGCGCGAGCTGCACTGGCTCCCTGTGGTCTTCCGGGTGCGCTTCAAGGTCTTAGTTACCACCTTTAGAGCGCTCCATGGCTTAGGACCGGGGTACTTACGAGACCGCCTTCTGCCACCAATAGCCTCTCACCGCCCAGTACGCTCCCATAGAGAGGGGCTTCTCAGGGTGCCGTCAGCCAAACAATGTCGACTGGCGGCCCCCAGGGGGAGAGCCTTTTCTGTGAGGGCACCCACCATCTGGAACGAGCTCCCCCCAGAGATACAGAAGATTCCGGATCTGCGCACTTTCCGCCGTGCCCTCAAAACATTCCTGTTTCAGCAGGCCGGCCTGGCCTAACTTTCCCTTTATATTGCTTTTTGATTTTATTTTAAACTGGGATGTCTTGAATTATCTAGGACCAGAATGTTTAGTATATTTTAATTGGTTTTTTATTATTAACGTTTGTATTACATGTATTTTTATCGTTCGCTGTTCACCGCCCTGAGTCCCTTAGGAATAGGGCGGTATATAAATTTAAATTAATTAATTAATCAAATAAATAAATAAATAAATAAATAAATAAATAAATAAATAAATAAATAAATAAATAAATAAATAAATAAATAAATAAAAAAAAAGAAGGAGATCTCCAAGGTGGCAAGGTTAGAAGGTCACTTCTTACCTTTCCCTATTGCAAAGTGGTACAACACAGTCCTCTCTATATGACTGCTCAGAAAGAATCACTGGAATTTACTTAGGAGCAAACAACATAGTAATAAATTCAAACTGCCTTGAATGTAATTCTTTGGTTATTTTAACTTGGTAGGGATTTTCCATTTAGTATAGTGTAGTCAAGAGTCTGCCTGTCAGATTCTAGATATTCTTTTTTAAAAACGTATTCCATACCCTTTATGTTTCAAATCCATAGTGCAACCTTTACAGTGCCCTCCCTTTCTCCCTGGTTTAGAAAAGCTGCTCAGTATTTCCACCCAGAAAAATCGGAGCCTCGCTATCTGACAGAAGACGAATACCGGGAACAAGGAGAAACAGAGACCGTGAAGGCCCTGGAAGAGCTGCGTGTATTCTGTAGGAATCCCACTTTTCCCTCCTGGGTAGCTGTGGTCAAACTGCAATCTCCACAAAAGTAAGAGCATTTGTTTTCTTTTCCATATCTCAAGGCTTCATTTGTGGTTTTAAAATAGCAGCAGCTTATTTTCCATTGAGGCTGCTCTTCCACAGGAATCGTCTCTGGCGGGCTATACTTGATGCCTTTGTGGATGAGATTTAAAGCAAGGTGGGGTTGGGCCAGTATTTTTCTTCCTTGCACCCCTCCCTTTTATCATCACTTTTAAGTGTTTGGTGCATTGCTTTCTTCTCGTTATTGATCCCTCTTTCTCCTTTCTCCAGGTTTGCAAACTTTGTTCTAGGTTCCCCTCATGTGTCTGCTGAAGAAATGACAACCCATGAGGCACAGTATGGCATCGGAGGAGCCCTCCTGGAGCAACAGCTTTTCCACCCAGAGACTGAGGCAGAACCAGAGCCCCAAAACACTTCTGAGGTGGAGGAGAGAAACAAAGAGGAAGGACTGAGACTATTACAACCAAACATCCGGCATTTCCACAGTAGAGAATTTCTTTGAGCAGCTGCCCAGGTCAACAAAAACATGCAATAACATGCTTTTTTGAACTGTAGAGGGCAGTCAAGACATTTTGAAGGACTTACCATGACTTCATTGGTTTCCAGGAAGCAGTTAAGTCTGCAAACCCATCATGATTAGAGTTATGTAAGGAGGGAATCCAGGCACATCTGAACAATACTGGATTCAGTTAACGTCTCTGCTTAGAGGAACCATTTGCTGAAAGTTTGATGAGGCAGCCTGTGGAAGGCTGGAGCATGGAATTCCTCTGAGTTATTCTGCCAATTTACAAGCAGTCTCTCTTTTTTTTGGCCTGATCGTGGATTCTAAGTTTGCACATTAACCCATGGTGTGCTTAACTCTCATTTGCTGAGTTCACACCAACATGTTAAGCCATAACTTTTGGTTTGTAAATCACAACAGCTGCAACCCAACACAATCACGTTTGAGACCAATGACCCAGTGAAGACAACTAATGTTGGGGAAATGAGCTGAGAAGTTGAAGTTACTGGTGATTAACCACTTTATGGTAATTATTTCTCTCCAGTGATTGGGATAAGCTGTTTTAAGTTGTTTCAGCATTTGCAAATAAATTGAGCGTTCTAGATGCTACAGTTGCCACAGGGCACTCATCTTTAGAAAAGCCCAGGGAAATGTTGGAGCATAGTAGTAGCAGCAGCAATGAAAGCAAAGGAAATAATAGGTACCTTGGGCACAATTCCAAAACATCTGGAGCACCACTTGAACACCGTCGGAATAGACAAAATCACCATCAGTCAATTGCAAAAGGCAGCTTTACTTGGAACAGCTCACATCCTGTGACGGTACCTTTTAACACCATCGAATATCATCTGCCTATCCAAAGTCCTTGGAAAGGACTCAATAGGTGGATAAAAATGCCAAATCCAGTCTAGATGTCTGGTAGAGGGTGTGACCAACAAAAATAAAATTTATTAAATAATATGCCACCCAACTCATAGTGACTTAGGGGCTAGTAGTACAAGTAGGACAGAACTAGTGTTTACTCCTGTGTACATGGAGCCCTAAATCCCAAAACCTTCCAAGTCCACAAGAGGGATTTGCATTGTTCCCACGTTTCTGCAGATTGCAAGGTCTTTTGGTTGGTTATTTGTTTGTCTTTGGTCAGTTGTTGTTTTTTTCTTGATATACTTTGATGTTTTTTCTGTAAGTCACATGGTCACTATGGAGTCAGGCAGCCTTGAAACTGAAGTACCTAAATGAATGTATGAAAGGCTTAGAAGCATATCTGTAAGGAAAGACAGTTAAGGAAAGACAGTTAAGTTTTGCTTTGGCTCCAACCAGCTGATTTAGGATAGAGGTCTTAGAAACAAGAAAAGGGAACCAAGGAGATCTTGTTTAATTACTTCATATTAGTCTAGCATACAAGATTTAAAGTTTGCTGTAATGTAATCATGATCTCTCTGATTAACCTATCCCACTGGCTTTTGTGAAGATTTAAAAAATGGAGAGGTCGTCTTATATACCTTGATTTTTTAAAAAGTTGAAGTATAAATGTAAACAATATGTATGTGTGTCGATTGATGCATTGCTGACAAAATGCACTGTGGAGTAATTAGAGAATTGTTTGGATTTTGTAAATCCCAACTTCTTTTTAATATTCACTTTCAAATAAAATGAGCCATTGTAAATAGAGAGTGTGTTCAAATGTATTAATCAAGTATCTTAACTCCTGCACAGAGCAGCCCACAGGACACTATGCAAGGAGCATCTGATAGTGCTAAAGATGGAGATCCTTGCTGAACAAGATGGTTGATAATATTGATTTACTGCTCATCTCCTGGGTTCAAATTCTTTCCGTGAACCCCTTGATGCCAAAAATAAAAACAAGAAAAGGGATATAATTAACTTCCTCTGGGCAAGGAAAAGGAAAGGGAGGAGGGGAACTCGTCTATGATCTCACGAGGGGACAATTAAATCCATCCCCTGTAGGGCAGCTCTTGAACTAGCCAGACTACCATTGATCAATACTTGTCTGCACTTGCAACGAATTTCTGTGCTTCATGTACCAGCAAATGGGAAGGGTTAGATTAGAGCAGGAACAATTTGATTGCACTCTAGGTGCCAAAGAAGAAAAGCTGCTTTGTTTTTCAAAAAGTGACCATGTCAAGTCAACCTTGGCTAATTTCAAAGATAAAAGAGTGACACTTAATCTGTGCTTAGAAAAAACAAAGACCTCCAGAAAATCCCAGGCTATAGGGAAGTTGAAAAAGCAACCTAGAATAAGAAAGGGACAAGTCACCTAGTAATCGGGAGTCAAACTCAGTGTGGGGAGGTTAACAAAAACAACTTTTTGCAGGACAAGTGTCATCATAACCATTTTAAGAGCTATGATGATTTCAAATGTGGCCATTATTGAGTTGGGGTTTCTTGCTAATTTTATAGAGAACTCTTGCTGTGCAATCACTTGCCAAAAAGTTAGTGAATCCTTTTTCTTTATTTTCAGCAGGAGACTAACAAAAGGTTCCCTCAGCATTGAGGCCCTCAGTGCATATAAAGCAGGTAACAAACGTGCTGAATACCTGCAGTTATCCAATGGCTGAATGAGATGAGTCACCCATTTCCCACTTCTCCAAACAAAACAATCAGATTAGATCATAAAATCTTGTTAATATTGTGTTTCATCCTGTACTCTTTAAAGACCTGGCACTAGTCAGAGCCATTAACTGGAGAAGAGACACTGAATAGTGAGTATCTCAAAACTAGCCTAATAAAAGTACAAAGTACCGTATTTAGTAAATACAAAAGCTTGCTAATCCACCCCCTCCTATGGTCATATTTTTAACGGGACATGACATTTTTGACATATACATGGAATTTTATTTATCTCACTACATTTTAACAACTTCACAAATACGAGAGCTGTCTACAGCCCATTCACAAACAAGGAAGGAACCGATTTGACAGGCAGGTTGGATATGTAAACATAATGTGCAAGTTCAATGCCTTACAACTCGGGTATTCAATATTAACAGTTATTACCAAAGCGTTTATCATGTAGACTTCAAATAAGTTCATCTAAAGGACCTACCGTTTGTTTTTAAATAACCATTTGCAGTCTACTTTGTTTTTTTTAAAAAAATCATTTCCTTCCTTCCCTCTGCAATATAAACATATAATAAATAGATTTCTGATTTTATTTTTAAAGGTCACTTAAATGAGAAATTTACAGTACATTTAAGTTGAAGTGCAAAAAATAGCTAATAACTACTTGCCAATATTTGGTCCCAGGTACAGATTGTTATAATCCCTTAAGGTTTATGTAAGGAAAACACCCTTAACATCTATCTTAAGGTATTCTATATTCTGCATTCAAAGTAAAGTATCTGAAATTTAATTCTATGAGCCACACCAGCTCCTGGGGCATAAATGGCATCCCACTGGCTGGCAGAAGTCAAAAACCATCTGGTCAAACCATGCGTGAATAGGACTCCTCTAATGGAAGGCTAAATTTGATATAGAGTATATGCTTGAAGCCTAAGCGCTACAAAATTGATTCTAATATTTTCCCTCAGCTATAATAACAAAGAATGTATGGGAACTGGGTTCAATTCAGTGAAATGTGAAATGTCAAATCCGAATCTGTCAATGTCTTGACAAAGTAGTGCTAAGACAACATGATCAATATCCATTTTTCTCTTCTAGCTGCTTTTATTATTAACTATGTCTTCCTTTCCTATACAATAATTAGGATTTATACCCCTTCCCAATCCACAGGCACTTTAAATATACTCTATAAAGTTTTATTCCCTTTCCCCTTAAACATATTCTATCGTAAAATAAACTATATCGGCCTGGCTAAGAAAACTTCTCAAGAAGCAACTGATATATATGCCTGCTGCTGAACATCCTCTTATTACTGGTTTTCAGAACATACTGCAGGCCTCTGTTAGGGAAGTGGTATCAACATCTCCACTCCCAAAAATCTAATAAAGCTAGACCCTTTATTGTTATTGTGTTACACAAGTAGGAACTTCTCAGATCTGCCTGAGGTGAAGGAGTCATATTTCCCTATCACATACACCAGAGAGGCAAAAAAGAATCCACATAGACTGCTTCTGTAGGACAATCCCTCTTCGGTGATTAGGGCAAATTCATCCCATATAAAATCATTAGAATCTTCCAACTGTACCATCACAGTTCAGGTCTTCAAACACAACACCACACATCTCAACCCATATCCTGTTTTTGCAGGATATGGACAATCACATTTTCTTGTTCTGGTTCTTTCTAAAATGCTAATGCGCTCTGGCCTGGCCATAGCAACATAAATGCCGCTTGTCTGGTTAGGAAGGCTTCAGCAGATGTTTCATGTAGAACTTTACCAGCCAAAAGTTCTTCAGCATCTCTGAGAAGTCTTTACAAAAGACAGAATTCTATGTGGCTCCCTCCTTCATTTCCGTATTTAACTATTGTATTTTCTCTGAAGTTTCGGTAGATTACAGAACTGCTCTAGGGAAGCCTGCACTTCATAATAAATAATCACTGTCTAAGAAAAACTGCTATGAGTTCTTGTCTTCCCTTTCCCTAATATTGAATTAAAATGTTCAAGTGCATTAAGCAAGAAGAAATGGAACTGAATGGCGGGGGGTTTTGTCTGTGAAAATTAATAACAATCCAGAAAATTATGAAGACAATTAGATGTGTTTGTTTACAACACTTCCATTCAGGTAGGGAAAAAACAACTTCAGATGAAATAGCGTGCTCCTTTGCTAGTTATTAACCCGGCCGCTTTTGCTCAGCCTTCCAAATTGTTCCTGCAACAGGCCTCAGGTTTTGTCACAGAAAAGGCATTAAATATTTTAAAAGCTTTGGCTGTATCAGGTTACTATTGCCAAGAGGAAGAGAAGTGAGGTCTCAAACTCCCACGTCAGTCTTTTTCTGATTGCCAAGAGCAGTATTCAGTGCCGCGAGCTGGATTCAAGAAAAGTCCTATTCATGCCTCCTCTCGGGAGACTGAGCTCTGTTTTCCGAAGAAACAGGGCAGTCCAAACTGGGGTGATTTTCAAGGGTAGCTGTAGGTACCGAAGGTTCTACCACTGAACCATCAGGTCTTTGATCCAGAGGACTATCTGGTATGGAATCATGATTACTGCTGGCATTCTACAGAAAAAGAAGAGAAAAACCACAAGTTAACATCTGGCTATGTGGATTTGTTTAGAAAATACACAGAAACTGTCATTCCTGGTAAGCCAAGGTAGCTTCCTCTTAACAAGGATCACAAAATCATATACACAGCACAGCGCACAAGCATTCAGGCAAGAGCAAAAGCCATCATACACAGGTAACAGATCAGATAAACTTACCTGTCCTATATTTTCCTAACTGCTTTTCCCCAAGAAGCATGTAGAAAAAAGACTTAGTGTATTTTAAGACAAACAATAATTCTGTGTAGGTAAGAAAGAACATTCCTCATAGCTTAACACATTTCATGCTTCTCTATGCACTTGGACATATTTTCCGCATAGACTTTCTATGCAGTACTTTCTATTGGAATGTCAGCACTGTGCTATTTTGGGAACAAAACTATGAATATTTTAGCAGACAAGTAAATTATCTTTCCTAATAATCACAAAAGGGATAGCTACAAGAAAGACATTGCTAACAGTTTTTGTTGTTGTTGTTGTTTTTTAATCGAATTTGGTTTTAATTGGGTTGTTTTAAATTCGGGCCAAAATTATTTGTCTTTTAAAATGTTTTTAAAATTTATATGCTATGTTTTATCTTGGTTGTACACCGCCCTGAGTCCCCCAGGAGAAGGGCGGTATAGAAATAAAATAAAATAAAATAAAATAAATAAAATAAATAAACCTAAGAATGTGTTGTAAAATATTCTTCTCCAGCTAAACAAATAAAAATACTAAATACCCTGTTTCCCCCAAAATAAGACATCCCCTGATAATAAGCCCAATCGGGCTTTTGAGCACTTGGCAATAAGGCCAAGCACATATTTCAGGGTTCAAAAAAAATATAAGATAGGGTCTTATTTTCAGGGAAACACGGTAACAACATAAATTTTATATCCTGTTCACGAACCAACTGATATAAGAAAGCAACCTCGTGTGTTCAGATCGCTTTGCCAGATTGGGTGCTGACGAACTGTTTCTCTTGCACAACGAAGCCAAAGCATGGAATGAGATACTACAGAGTACCTCTGTAGGTCTGAGACAGGGATGGGTTCTACTTACCTTTACTACCGGTTCGCAACGGGGCCGCGTGCGCGTGCTCGCTTCGCTCACGCACACGCTCTTCTGCGCAAGCGCAGAAGCTTCTGCGTGTGTGCAGAAGCATTTTCATTATGTCAGGGTCAGTGGGCGGGGCCTCCTGCCAGTTTTACTACTGGTTCTATAGAATCGGTGCGAACCGGGGGCAACCCACCACTTGTCTGAGACAATAGTGGATTGACTATGCAAAAACAGTAATGTCAACAGCCTTTTTTCCCTTGATGTTTTTAAGAGGTGTTGACTTTCTTTGGCACCCAGTGAAAAAGTTCAGCTTTGCCTCTTGATCAAGAGTTCTAGGATTAAAAAAAAAACAAAAACCTAATGGATTCTGCAGTCTGAGAAGATTTGACTACATATGTATTGTAAGATTACAGCACTGTCATACATCTCTCCATTTAAAATATCCCACTG